ACCATTAGCTAGAAAAACTGTTACAATAAATGTAATGCGCTGAAAACGTTGAAAGAATACAAGGACAAATTACCCAAAGTGGGGAAAGCTAATAGGAAAGCAAAGAGAGAAGCGAGATGCACAAGCAAGAGGATTACGGATTTTAGAGCGATCCAAGCTCTAGGCGCACCCATTTTACTTTGAAAAATCATAAATATATTTCATTAATATCACTGGAAGCTGTGATGGTGGATATAATTTTAAATATACAATGAAATAATCGAGTGCATTCAGCCGATGCTTGCCACAAATAGTGCAAAAGCTAGGTGGAAGGGGGTGAAACATGGCAGGTGACAGGGGGCTAAAAAAAAGCCAAAAGGAGGGAGGAAAAAAGAAAATTGGGTTGAACACGGGCGAATGGCTAACAATGGACGAGCAGTAATTCCAAAAACCCATGTTAAATTTTTCTTTCCGACTTTTTAACTCGTCGAGAAAAAAAGTGAGGGGTGAGGGAGCGGGTGCTCTATGAGTTCGGTTCTGGGTGGCCCTCGAAAAGCGTTCAGACAGCCTCGTGGTGATTCTGTTGTGCCACCTCGAACCCCTTAACCTAATCTACTTTTTACTCCCTCTCGACTTTTATTTTCTTCCATTGCTAATTTACCCCCATTCACCGCAAATCACGGGGAAAATTTATGGAAGCTCTCCATGACAAATCGCAGTTATACAAACATCAGAAGAACAAAAACATCCACGAGATTCTCGAATCAGATAAATGATTGCGTATTCTTTCATTGCATTCATACCAATTATTATTATGCACTGATACAAGAAATTGTGAACTTCAATTTGAAATAATGAGAGACAGAAAAGAATATAGTCGATGGTGTAGGTCTTGATGTAAAAGAGGCAACTGAGAGTATAAAGAGACAGAGCATATTACTCGTAGAATTCTGTACTATCTGTAGAATGTGTGAAAAATGAGGTTACGATTTACGACGTGTTATATGGTTTGCCAACAGCGTCTGTTTCTCTGTGGAAGAATGTTTGTTGAGACGATGTCAAGGGGTCAACCCTCTCCTCTCTTTTTCCTCACAGTGGAGGTGTCTCCAACCCTCCGGAAAGTCAGTTCAACGCGATTTCCAACGTGGTGGCACAACTTTACCATGTTCTCACACACACAAACAACACATGATATTTTATACTTGCCGAGCACGCTCTTGCACCGATATGTCTACGCGCCCTCCAGCAATAAAACCAACAGTATCACGTCCCTGCGATTCTGTATATTTTTTTCATTGGGTTTGAGAATCCAAGGGTACAGCGATCCCTGATTCGGGCATGTATTTAATTTGTTACAAACACGGCCTTGATTAGTTGATTATTAATTGAAAATTATGCACCAACATCAGAGGATTATTTATAAGGACTGAATTGATGACGGTTCGCTAATTTTCATTCATCCGAAAGACGTTGAAACTCGACGCTATCTATTTTTACTTTTCCGTGTTACTACTGTTCAACTGTTCGTCATTTCAATATGATTGAACTACAGTTTTAATATTTTACTCAGTGAAGAGAATTAGTTTTATTGACTTCTGCACTTTCGTTTCATACATCTGCACATACACAGGGAATTTTAAAAATTCGGGAAACATCGCTAAAAGGTGAGAGAATTCGAAGTTGACAAATTCTGAGAGATATAATAAGCTATCTTCCATGGCTTCCGTAAAATTCCTCGAATTTATAAAAATTGCCGAATTTTTGTACTTTTTAAATATCTTTTCATATATTTTTCATTTTATTTAATCATTTAATTAAAATAGATTTTAATTAATTATTGGAAAACGGGATAGCGAAAAATGAACTAATCACATTGCGAGATTGTACCTGATAATTACCTCACTTTTTCGTATCATTTCCGTGTTTTAATATTGATTCTCTCCTACACGGAGAGAAATATTTAGTAAAAATTACGGAACTTTCAGTTCACTTACCGATTACGGAGTTGTTTCGAAAAATTTAAGTGACGGTATCGTTATTTTTCACCGATAATTCAGATAAAAATTACGGAATACCGCGGAAAAATTACGTGACAGTTCCGTAAAATTTCCGACAACCACATTTCGCTCCAGAATTACGGAAAATACACGTAATTTTTATTGAATATTTCTCTCAGTGTAAGCAAGTTGTTCAGTCTGCTATTTAAAGTGGTAAAATTCGGTATGACAGATGAAACGGTTTGACGGGCTGATACGTTCCATTTACATTTACATTCAGATTTATCCAACTATTCTAGGTTAATATTCAAAATTTCCATCAGATTGAAAAAACGAGGTAATAAAAGAACAAATAATAATCTTCATTTCAGTGCTCGATTTCCACTCAATTCCTTCTCTCTTTTTCCATCGAATTTCTTTTTTTATCATTCTCTGAGTCAATATTTGCCATCGGCAAGAATATAATACAAAAAATGAGAGGTGCGGGTAGCGTTGAATAAAAGTCATAATTCATAGTCAAAGTTTAGAGATTTAAATAAAAATATGATAATTAAAGTATTCGTTTCGCGAAACTGCGAGAATCATGGGGTTACTGTTTTCAGGTACGACATGAAAAAAAAATCTGAGACGAGGAGTAAGAGAAGAATGTGAGGAAAAAAACTCACGGATAACCGGAGGGGTGACGAATCTTAGACCGCAGGACGAATGCAAAAAAAATAGGAAAAATAAGAGATAAAAAATAACAAAAGAGAATTTCGAAGTAGTCCGATCTCGATATGAATAAGAAACGGGGATGATAGTTGTTCCATATCTCTCGGGTAGAGATAGGTAAAAAAAAATGGTCAGTGAAGAAAAGACAGATATGGATAAAGAGAGTTCCATGGAAAAGCAGAAGAAATGGTGGATGAGCCTGGGGTAAATTGTAGGAATGGTTTTATATCCTTCTGGGACTCACTGATCGATCCGGGGGATTTACGCCCCTTACCCAATTTAAAACACCAACTGCATAAACATAACTGTGTAAACGGTCAATAAGACCCTTACCCAAAAAACGTATTACATCGAGTTGGCAAGGAGTATGTCGTCGCTCTTCCGTTAAATAGAATAAAAGTGACAAGCAAGGGATAGATAAACGTGGCCGTGCCTAGCAATAGCAGACATTTTGAATCTTTAATTTTTTATTTCCGTCAACTTTATTGAGAACAAGCTTGCGGCCCATCCAAAGCAGCACTAATTATGAAATTTCAGATTTCCAGCATCACCTGAGATGAAACCGAAATGGACGGGAAAAAAGAAGAGACTAATTCTCCAATGCCTGACCTAGTTACAAAATTATTCAAATAATGATTAACAAAGCTACGATTTAGGAGAAAGAACGGGCTGATGAGAAATCCTACCGTTGATAATAATCACTTGCAAAATGAGTTTGCGACGATACAGGGGTATAAGTTTGGGAAAGTAATTATAAAATTTCAGATCTTCAGCTTCAATTGTAGATAAACCATGAAATAGAAGGGAGAAATTCTCCATTTTCCGAGAGAATGACAATATCAGAAAAAATGATGAATGACAAAGTTATGATTTGGGTGGAATAATGAGTTGAAAATTTGTTTTTCTCTTCTCAACGCAGGGGAGGTTTTGAGATTTTTAAGTGGATAATAATTCCCCTGGAAAACAAGTTTGCGATGATATAGTGGTAAGTTTTGGAAGGTAAACCACGGGCATGGGAGAGAAGAGCAAAAGGGAGAGACCGAAGAGTGGGGAATAGTGCATATAGTGGTGCTTGGATGATGCCGTTATCTCTAGCATCCTTCGGGAGCCATTCGTCTCCACCTGAGGCACTTGCTCGCGTTATTTCCGACGATAAGAGAACAGTAGCGAATTCCTCCTACTCCTTTACCCTCCAGTACCTTTCCAAACGATGAGAGGTATTTCGATAGAGTTGTCAATAACTGTTCAAGTCACGCAGTAGTCAAATACCCGACAATTAAATCGGAAATGGTTCCTTTGATGTTACAAAGCTACCCCTGATTGGTATCCCCGGACGCCAATTGAATACAACAAAGAATGTAATTTGAGGAATTGCCAACGATGGAAGCTGTACTCGTCGAAACGAAGCATAACAAGAATTGTCCTCTTGGCTCTCTCTGTCCCTTTGTTTCCACGGTATATAGCTTCAGTTATGGCAAATAGGAGGTTTTATTATTAGCCCGGAGGAAATAATAAAATACTTATTATTGCTGAAAAAGCTATTTTTATCCTCTCCCATGTGGCCATATATATCTTTCGGCGATTCTATGATTGACACTCAATGTTATTAGATAACACGGCAATATTTCCGGATTGATGAAAACGCTTTTCCATTGATTCTATCCACCTATATATGACTACACCAATACCTTTTTTTTTTTCAACGCGTTGACCGGAAAATTCCGACCTAATGTTTATCGGAAATTGAGCGCACCCCATGTTTTTATAGGTCGTGCCAAATCTGGGTCGTTGTGCGATGATTATTCGATGATCGAATGAAATAGAGATATTATATATATATATCAAGAGACTAAAATGTTATTGTGCAAATAGCTTCGACATCGGGGGAGCCCCAGACAACTAAGATGTGTGACGATGTAGTAAAAATTCCCACGTGTATCGATAAGAGTAAATATCGATCGAAGATTGAAAGAAGAGCCCTCCTGAGGCAGTTTACCATCAACTTACTTTGCCATGCTGTAAATTATGTTTTCTGTTTGCGTTAATTTTCATGTTCATCGAGAATATTCTATCCGCTTACTTATAAAACTAACTCACAACTATTATATATTATTCCATACTCTGTTCGCTTATAACTAGCCGACCCCTTGGATTGAACCAATTACGAATATACAACGTCGTAGAGAAGAATGGAGCGTACAGACAGCTGGGTAATTATAGTGCACGATAAAAAATGAATAAAATACGTAATGCAGTTCAAGTATGTTTACCTAATTCTGTATTCATTAAATTGGATTAAATCCGTAAACTCACCATTTTTGTCACTGAGATAGTCAGCTCGTGCTCGCCAAGAGGACAGGACAGCTGAGATCAGCAGTACCACTCTGAAACTAAGTGTTTTCATTATTAGCATTATTACACTGTAGATATTCACTGCCGATATAACTAAGCGTAATCAAGGGAGCCACTAGAGGGTAACAGGAGAGACAAAATATAGCATTTCGGACCAAAACTAATTAACGTTGGAGAATCCCGGAAGATTGTTAAGGGGTGGAGAAGGAGAGGAGAAGAAGGGGCGGTAAAGGCTAGGTAGACCCCCTCTGCCTCCGTAACTGAGCGTAGAATTCTACTGGCAATTAAAACAAACGCACCAAAAGATAACGACTCGACTGAAGATTCTATAGAATTTGTACGTGCGGTAAGCGTGATTACAAGCCTTTCCCGAGCTCGGGAAAATCAGAGATTTTTCGTCGTTAATCGAAAGGATCTGCTCAAACACACCGTCACTGGAATCAGCTAGAGTAGGGATGCAGACGCTAGAAAAAAGTCAATTTTGTGGGGCGGAGAGGGGTGGGATATTTTCCTCCCGGTCGGAAAAGTGGCATTAAAATACTAGGCGCGTCGTTGATCCCCGGAGAAAACGAACGTTCGATTATGCAGGATGGGAAAGATCGAGTGGGAAGAGAGGATCATGAGGCCAAGTGATAGAAAAAGGAGAAGATAGCAGGAAGGGAAAGGGGTAACGTCTCCTGAGGTTATCGGAGTTGCGCCTCTCGTTGAATTTATACGCGATCGTTTTATCCTACTTCCGGTGAGGGTTTATCTCTCCAGGTGTGTGGAAATAAGGAAGAAAGAGATTGTCTTGCTCTCCGTTCAAAGTGGGTTTTGTTAGACGGAAAACGTCTCCATGACATTGTTTTATTTGTTTATTTATCGTGTAACTAGTTGGAGAGAGACTTCCGTAATTGGATCAATTGTCGATGCTCGCAGATAATTGGGAAAATAATAATGATAAGAGCTAGATTAGCTGGTTCATGTTGGATTATGTATTTCTTGGGGAAATGGAGGAGAAAATAATGAAAAAGAATATAAGCTCAAAGTTGTCTGATGACGTCCATCTCATAACTGCCTGGCTTCTTGGATTTCCAATTAAAAGACAATTGAGAGGCGACCCATTATTTGAAAAGGTAAGGCAAGAAGGTAGCGTGAGGTAACGTCGTTGAAGAAATTAAATTTTTTTTTTCTTTCCGGTTGTATCTCTTTAAATTGATACAGAGTAAGATGTACCAATTTAAAGTACACTGAAAACAATAATTACAGTAAATGTATATTGTTTGGTGAATTGTGTAGGTTTCCAGTCCTTATTTCCTCCAAACTATACATACACTATAATTATTTCTTCCAGGTAAATAGTTGCTATCCTTTGCTACTGATAAAAGGCTGTGGATCATAAATGGTGTCGCTCCAAATTTTATTCAATGATAATATTAGCCCGCAAAATGTTACACGTCGAGATATTATAATATCATTATTGTGGGAGATTTTTTGAATTTTAGATGATTGGGTATCGATAAACTGTTAAATGGAACTGAGGTGGATTGTCCAAAGCGGTGAACGGGGAACATTAACGTAAATATTCTTCTGATTATCATTACGTCGGCGACGTGGATCCGATGATAGCCAAAGCAGCTGACGAGACGAGGTCTGTAATATTTTGAAGCAATAATTATTTCAACTGTAATATTTTTTGTTTGCATTTTTTGAGGCATTATTTTGAGTCTTGTTATTTTGATAATTACCCCCACCAAAAGGACAACCACTGATCCGGTTATATTTTTTCCAGAACATTCGTTATTAAAACTATATCTATATTGAAATGGAAAATTGTGCATTGTACAGATCGGGCTTGAGTTTCCACGAATCACACATGGAATTATTTTTCATTGTATTATGAAACAGCTTTGTAAACACGAAGAAAAGCCAGAGCGATATCGTATATGCAGTCGTATCTGCTCGATAATATGTACACTCGAAATCATCATAAATAAATAGTCAGTCCGCAAAGACCACCCACATTGAAAGACATTTTTAGGTATGTAGACATGTTCTAAAGAGACTGCACTGTTGAAATCTAACTAGAAATGCAAACGCATTCAATTGAATTTATCCTGGCGTAACTATCAGAGGTGCAAAGTAATTTTCGTGAAATACCACCGGAGCTCTCGGTCCGACTCAAACATTCAGTGGTTCCCTTGATGTACTGCGTTATACTGTTGGAGGTTTAGTCGAGTTTAAAATGCATTATGTATACGCGTCCGATCGACAGATGAATAAATTTCACGTCTACTGTGTGCAGTGTCCCGTGAGTGTACATCGTGATGCATAGGCGGATACAGTCTCCAGAGATTCGCGTAAAAGTACGAGAAAATGAAAGCAAAAATGAAAAAAAAAAAACAAAAACAAACAAACCAGCTGAAGTGAACGATAAAAAAGAAAATGCACGAGAAGCAATAATAAAAAATCAACAGCAAACGAATGATATATAAAAAATGGTGACGCTGCAGAGACGTAAAGTAGTTGACAACAGAGAGATCAGAAAAAACAAGGAAGCTGTAATATAATAGTAGCCACTTGGCATTTCTTTCTGTATCCATTTCGTATCCTTTGTGAAGAGGCTTTACTTGAAAATGACATCATTGCCAAGTCTCGCTTTTTACGAGACACTCTCTACATCCGAGATTCAAAGTCATCCATTTCATGGAAGTGTAGAATAAAAAAGGGAAAAACAAATAGGGTATCCGGGGCAAGATGAAAAGCATTGCGATTTAGAATGACAAATAAAACATGGAGGAGTGGTGGGCGGCTGCCTCATAAAATATATTTTTTTGTAGAAAAAATCAACAGAGAAAGTGCCATCAAGGGAATACTGGATAATGATGGGAATCATGAAGATTAAATTTTAGAGTGGAGAGATACATTGAATGGATGTGTTTATACATATGGCTTTGGAATGGCAAGCGGGCGTGTCTCATTCTCGACCTTTTATACGAGATATACTGCATCCGGTCCTTGAACCCGTCCGGTCCCTATTAGTCATATTCATTATGATATAACAGAAATACCGTAAAAATGAGCAAGGGGAAAAATCGACAAATGAAGTGATGACATCACAGCGGGCGCAAGATATGAGGCATGAACAGATTACTTTGATATTTTTAATTCTGAATTCGTAGCATATTCATTACATGGTGTGCTGGGTCAGAAGGGGGCGAGAATTAAGGAGTGCTCTATAAAATAGCCGTAACACGTGCGCTTGATAGAGAATTGTTTCCATAAACCGTGACTTGGAGATTTTTTTTATCAGGACAACCATGAACAAAGTCCAGACGTATCAATTACCCTCATGTGTATCCAATGACCCGATGATAATAATGAGGAGAGGCGCTGAAGAAAGATTAAATGCTCGTTAAAATCGAACTTGTCTTTTTATAGGCTGAAGAGGTGTTTGTTTACCTCGATTTTGTACCCAATTCAAAATCCGTATTTATATAGCCGTGGAACTTCAGTGGGGGAGGGACAATATAATTTGGTGGCTTTTGCACTTGGAAATTTGTTGGAACATAAAAGGTATTTTAAAGGATCACGGAAACGGAATAATTTTCCACTTTCTTATGTAAAGAAAATTAGAACAGTAATTGAGAAAAACAAGCATTTATTTCCGTCTACAGAGGTAACCCCATTTTCAATTTCACTGAAGGAACTTTCTTTTCAATTATCAAGAAAATTAACAAGAGATTCCTTGCCCGGTGTTTACTGACGGAGCGTCTTGGAAAATTAATTCCTCGAGGTGAAACCCAGATTCATTCAAAATACAATATCCACGCCATTCAAACAACAACTTCGATTACATTATTATTACAGTATATAGCACGGTATATGTTGACTACTTATGGTTGCTACAGTGAATTCATAACAAACAACCCTAGCGAAGAAATTCAATAAGGAAATGATTAATGAACGTTAGCAAAGACAACATCTATCGTCCTTTCTTTTGTGAGGTCCAGGGACTTGTCTGTTCGCTAGAACTGGAAGGGAAGACTTCACTTAATTATGTTTCTTTCATTACTAAAGAAATAAAGACAATTATTCTCGAATATTTCCGCCAAGATTGAGTTATTGAGTGCAAAGATCTCATTCTCTTCTAAAGGTATCTACAGTGTAGATTCCATTGTCAGTAGATTGAAATCGAGTGATTCACCTCGAATCCCCTTTCCACAAAGGAACCATTGATAAGAAAATATGCAATAATTTACGTTTCGTTCCCCTGCAGAAATGCCATATGTTTCCGTAATAATAAAGAATTCACGGCGAAGGGAAAAATACAACGGTGCTCACTCAGAAAGAACTTCCCATTCTTCCATACCCGATTGATGAATTTTAATGATGCAAAAATGCTCATACTCTATTTAAAGATAAATGTCGTCAATTCATTCATATAACATCACAATTTCCAAAACGATTAGGTTGTTGCATAAAATTCTTTAAAGGGGGAAAAATGATCATTATTAATAAAATATGAAAACATGATTTTAATAAAAATATTTAAAATAAATAATTCATTGATGAGGAATTTCGAGAAATAAATTTTGTTACTGCACTCAGCTATTTCTGTAAAAATTTCTGAAAAAACCTGTATAGGCGTTACGGAAGTGAAAATCCCAGGAACTTTCCCCATTAATCTCTCGAGATGAATCCAATACAATTGAAGAACGATCATAATCATTACCTAAATGAGGCCATGATTATTTCCATTTCGTGATTATAGTGATTATAATGATCCAATTCCCTTTCACCATAATACACTCATTATTTTACCAAATTAATTATAAGGATTATTTACTCTATTAAATTGATAGGTCGTTAAGGGAAATATTAAGAGTGCAGAGGAGCCATTGCACATACTGCACCGACAACGTTTAATGTATATATACGCGTTTTGCGATTCGGTTAAGTCCTCAGAGAATCATAAATTTCTGGGTAAACTGCCAGGGAATCGTAATTACGACATCGACAGGGGAGGGAGCAACTGAGGAGAATGAGGATAATGGGGGGGCAAAGTGGAAAGTGGAGAGTGTGGGTGAAATGCGTACAACGATAATTTCGTTTTATTGGTTCACGCATGCGTGATAACATTGATAATATGTACATGGATGCAGTCTGAGTATCCATTGAGTTAATGCATGTAACCAGGAATATTTGACATTCATCGAATCCGCTCATGGGTCCTGCCATCGCTGCAATGGTATTGATAATTGGACGAGTGGACTGAGGCTCGCGAAACCAGAAGACAAGCCGTAGCACTAAATAATATTAATGTTTGCTGAACCGACTATTCGTGTCTGTAATTGGTAGCCCAGTCCACCAGGCTTTCCCAGACATTCCATAAATCCACTCGGTCATCCGTGATATTACTCTATGTCCTTCCTATATACCCTCATCTTCATCATTCCGCAAGGACCAACTTGATCGGCTAATCAAAAAACCAAATTCAAATTTCACACCCAGATAAACAAATTTTGTATTTTCTTGTTTATGATACTGCGAGATAATTTTTAGTGAAAAATGAGCGCAGGGGAAAATACATCGTAAAGGTAATGAGAGAATAGCCCGTGGCATCAAATGGATGTACCACTGAGAGCCATTTGTGCTGTATATGTATGAGACCAATGAAAAGCATGAATTGAGGATTATGAAATTGTCGAACGCACTCGAAAGTTCAACGCGAAATTTTCATCAGTTATAGAAAGACCAGCCCTTATATTTCAAAAATAAAACAAAGTTACGTTAAAATAGCCAGCAATGTCCGATAATCAGATTTCAGAAATCATTTCAAATCTAATGAATTTAACGGTACAAACGATAAGATTCTTTCATCAGCCAGTAGCAACAATAACAGAAAAAAAGGTTCCATTTACTTTGAACGTCAATCGCATTAGAACCAATGTAAATATTTAACTGAATGTAAAATCAAAGTCCAATGACAATAATAATAACTGTTAACCATCATATTACCAATATTCCAATACTAACAGTGTAAATAAATCCTGTATTTGGATTTCTACACTTCAAATCAATAAACAAATAAATAAATAAAAAATTATAGAAATATAACTTCGATGAACTTTGCAAATAAGTCGATGAATCCCATGAATGGTGGAACTTTCTTTTCCCTCTTTCTATCTGTCTTCACTCAAATTAATTGAAATCGTACAAAATCTCTACTCCTGATTATACCTCTCTCCGCAAGATATACTGTTACGTGTACCTCGTGTTCATTCAGAATCCCCCTCCCTCTCTCCTGTCTCCTCACCCATTGAGTTAATCCGAAGCGTCTCTGTTCCGGTTGAGTTTAATCGTCCTGACACTAATTCCCCAGACAAAGTCAGACCATCCGGTCAAGGACTCTCAATTTCCACTTGAGTTTGCTATTTCACGTCACCTCCCTTTCGCTCTCCACCACTTGAGAAGTCAAATAAACCGAAACACCTAACTTCAGATTAAATTCATTGCATATCGAAATTTCCATGTGTTTCAAGCAGAAAGTGATAGTTTAGGTTTTTAATTCAGTAGAGGGGATTCCCCTTTAACTACGTTAATCGTTTTCATATCCATCTGCCCTCGGTTCGGACTGCTCCGCGTCAGAATATCATTGGTGGAATGTTCACGCTCCTACTATGAGGTGAAACGTTGTCGCGCATAATAATGCTGTATAATATTTTAATTAATGACTTGTCCCATGTGGTTCAACTGCTCCAAAATCTACGGCTATACAGGGGACAATATTTATCCTGACGCTATACAAGAGGACCCTCCCTCCTTCCAAGCCTCTCAACTCTACCCTCCACTGGTAATTTCCAGTCAACACTCCGACCTAATCCAAATTGAACTTGGCTGGTGGCTTCCCCGATTCTGCACATATATACAGCATAATGCCATCAATTTACATGCGTTTGTCTCCAGCCTATACCAATATAGCTGTGCACCCTCTAAACTTTCATGGGTTTTTCACACCTATTTGTGCTCAAAGGTATTTTAAAAAACACATTTCTTTTCGCCTGTACCAAATGTTCCGAGGAGAAGATCTGAAAAATACACGATATTTAACGTGAACTATTATTATTATTTTTCACAAGCAGCGTCATTGCTTTTTGCAACTGTCGTTATCGCTTCTGGCAACTATCTTTCGTTACTACCCATGTGGAAATTCTAGTACAAGTTTTTTTCCTACTTTTGACAAGTCAAATCGGTACTTGCAGAAAGCACCGATAAAAAGTATCATTTTTTTAATGCACAGCAATATTCCACTGTTATTTGAAAGGTTACGTAATCGTTAAACTGTTGTGACCTCACGGCGAAACCAAATATTTGACAAAACGATTGCCCTCCTGTCAGTGACAGAATTTCTCTAGTCAGTAATTCTGGAATAAATCCATGAATTTATGCCAGTAATTTGGTAATTTTTATGCCAATTGATGATGGTGCGCTTGGTGAAATAAATAAAAAAATGATTATTCGCTTAGACGATGAAATTCGTGGTTTATGAAATTCACCAACAAATGAACCAGCAGTCCCGGTCCATGAATACAGTAGTACACGTGTTACCCTGTCACATTCAGAGTTGCGGGCTTTGGAAATTTGTACGGTGTCGTAAATACTCGGACACGGAGATTAACCGGCGGTCGCGTGGCACCGTATAATGAAAAATATCGGTGTGAGAAAGTCTGCCAAGAGTGTGCACAAATTGTTCAATATAAAATGAAATAAAGTGGAAAAAAGAAAGAGAAACGAGAAGGATATAGAAAGAAGAATAAAAAAGGTGTGAGAGAAATGGTACGTCTGGTACTCGTCAATTCCATCGAACGATTTAGACCTCCTTTCCTCGACAATCCCCTAACGATTGGAAATTCAAGAGAGCTTTTTTCTCGAGGTAATTATCGTGTCAAGGAATGACCTGTCAGGAGACGCGAAAAATGCTGCAAACCGGAAAAAAGGGAATAATGAAATGGATTGATTGACTTTTGAATGGCATTCTAATCATTCGAGGGCACCATCGTAGTCCCGATGTGTTTTTCCCTTTTTTATTTTATTCTGTAAATAATTAGTTCGTATTAATTAAGCGAAGTCAGTGAAAGATTTGCAAATTAATTATATTTCATAATAATCTATTCACCGTTACAGTATCTAAGTGGAGAAGGTTTTAAATTTATCATTGATAATAAAGATTGCGTGATATCTGTCATGCGAATGAGATGAAGCTCACTGTCCCTGGAATATATCATTAGCATTCATTTGAGAAGAAGGTAAATGCTATAAAATTCATCTTATTAGAGAGAACAAGGAAGAAATCTCATGAGAAAAATAATCAGCAGTGATTATGATGAAATCCAGCTGGATTCCCATGAATTCCTCTGCCATTATCATAAACAAACACCTCCTAGTTCCATATGATTGAATATTCTGCTCGATCACAGTCAAGGTTTAAATAGACTTGAAATGAGATTGTCGCTGGTATTTTCGCAAGCAGTTGAAAATAGATACGTCATGCGAGACACGTGTGAATAAATTAAACACTATCAGAAGAAAAATTATATTGAGAATAGAATTTATAACTTATCTTACCTAAGTAGCATGTTGAGTCATTCCCCCCAAGAGATGGGTGATGTCGAATGTGCAAACAAGTCCCTGGTGTACGTTTTAACTATATAGGTGAGAGGACTCTGAGTAAGACACGTCGAGTGTAGACACCTCAAGAGAGTTGTCTGTCAACTTGAACCTTTCTTACCTTACTCACGTTTTTATCCTCATTCAAGCCCCATAAATCTGGGATAAAAAAGCTTTAACACTGACTTATTACCTCAGTGTCCCTCGGTGACTCGCTATCGAATTACATCAAACAGAGGGATTGTCTAATCACTGACTCAATTAAAATCACAACACGCTAATCACTACTATCACCAAGTGCAGACCAACGTTGTAACACTCCTTCCGGATTCCTCGTCCCTCGTTGTTCCACCAGTGGCGCTGTCCTATTGACAAGGTCAGTCCACCCGTATCCTCAAGGTCGATATGATTCGGCGCGATCTAGCCAAATGTTCTTCATCAATTTTACCCTCGAATCAATGTCTCTGGCAATTCTTCCAGCCCCTCCAGCACACTCTCTCACTATTATGCAAACCCTTTATCGAAACGTTATTCATCGACCCTTGTCCTTGATCCCTTCCCAGCCATTGGGATCTGTCAACCCGTATCAAGTCAAGAGGATTCAACCTTCTGAATTTTTATGGGATCATTCGTGGAGTTTCCATCAAACACTACAGTCTCACCAGCTCAGTTCCTACAGAAACTCCATACGGATAACACACAGTTGGACTTTTCCCTCCTCTCAATGTTTATCCTTCCAAATGGAAATTTAAAGATTATGTCAGATTTGTTTTTTCCTCTACTGTTAGAGCTGAATCGAGGTATCGGGGTATGTTTTCTCGCTGATAAATCAGCTCTTAGCCCAATTGTTTACTTGTTATCTATATGTATGGGTGTATGGAGATAAGATCGCGTGTAACGAGGCGGTCGATTTAAATTTGGCTCGCACGTGGTGACGACGACATCGTCCACACGACTGCCGGCAAAATGACGCTGGGCGCCGCGCCGGGCGTCCCCATCTCGCGGTTATCCCTCCAACTCTACCCAACAGAAGTCTCCAGCAATCTCCTCACTTTTCTTGTAACCCCCCTTTTTTTTTATTCTCCCATCTCTGTTTATTTCGTGTACACTCAATAGCACAACCATAAATTAATCAAAGAACATTCTCCACACTTTCACATGAGGATCAGAGATCATCACGAGGGCAGCCTCACAAATATCAGAGCAGTCAAGCAATTAGCTGGAAGACTGTTCAATGCCGTGTAATACGGCTTGCACCATCACGTCCGAATTTCTCCTGGAATATCAGGTAACAATAGAGCTAGAAAAAAATAAATGCAAGCGTTGAATCCCCTCGGATATATTCAACTGCACAACTTCCGAGTTAGGACGGACGACTTCCGAGAAATCTCCTACGTATATAGAAATATTTACGAGAGACAGCGAAGCTTAAGCTGCAGTATCCGGCACAAATTCCAGTTTATTAACAAAAATCCGTGTAATTATAGTTTAAAATGTAAAGTGAGTATCATTTACTAATGTTTGTTATCGTGAAATGGGAATAGAGTATGCCAGATACAAAGTTTATCCCTCTTTAGTTATTGAGTCTAATGCTATCCATGCAATGGCGATTCTATAACGGGACAGACCTGCCCCAGGCACGTGTGTCTCGGATGCCATCTCTTACTTGATATTATTTATCTTAATACTTGGGAGCTTTAACTCTTGACGTCTAATGAATTTCAACGGAGAATGCCATTAAGATTTATATGGATTGAGATCTATCGATTTAATTGGAATAAATAACGACTGCATCGATGATTTAGAGTTCTGGTGACACGAAACATTTGGCTTAATGGAGAGCTACATAGTCATATATCTCTCATGTGTTACGTGGATTACGTACTGTACTGAAAGGGATAGGCATTAGTCAAGCGTGCAGGACGATCAGTTACCTCGTGGGGTGAGAGTACACATGAGGTTATATAGGTAAACTTGGAATTGTGTACATATAGTTTGGTCAAGAGACATACTGGTATGTATTCACTAACGATCGGGATCTTGTACTCCGCATTCTCGATGTAGATGTGCAAATAATGTGCCAATATGACCGGCGCCATATATCGCTAAAGATTAAAATCAGTCGTCTCCTACCACTGAGAATGCCCAGTTTTTAAATCTACACCTCCTTCGGATGATAAATACTGTGCAATTATAATTGAGCATTTAGTACCATTTATTGATTGTCTAATGAACACTGGAAAATGTTCACAACCAACCTATCATGACTATCTCCGCCTACATCTCCGCAGAGTTATTTTCTTTTGCGAAGTATATATTTTGGCAATATAGTCTCAGTGTTTTCAATATTTTTTAACGGCAGTTTTGAGAATTTCTATAATTATTAGTATTATTTGTCCTAGTAAATTTAGTTGGCACAATTTGGTTTTGCTCTCAATGATCTCCATTCTTGCGAGGCTGAATGGAGATATGAACTTGGCATAATAAAATATGAAGGGAACATTTATACCAAAAATATTCAAATTAGTTTGTGCTTAACGGACGGACTTTAGTTCACTGGGTGCTGGTGGCTTAGACGTGGTTGTAGTTCAGAAGCCGGGTCCACACTGCGGTTTCTATAAGCCGGAGAGAGTTTAACGAAACACTGGAATAAAACATTATATATATAGCATTTATACATATACGAGACCGAACGCGCGCTACAGCGCGTTGTAATTATAAATATCAGGATAGAAAATTCTAAAATTAAAAGAGTTGCGAATTCAAATTAGCCACCTCCGACGACTGAATTAAAGAAGCATTAGCTAACCGACTTTCGAGATATCGACAGCTTCGACGTTCGGTCTTTCTGTAATAGGATAATGGAGAGAAATGGCAGTTAAAAGTGTCAAGGATCAGTGACCATATTACGGTGAATTATAAATATACCGCGCTCTTCGGAAAACGGGAGGCATAAAGCGACGTATTTAAGTTGATAAGCACATGCTGACAAACAGATTTGTTTAAAGTTATTTGGGTAATGGAATTTTATATAATTTCAAATGCATTCGAGAGAAATTCGTATATCGTGCCTCTAGGGAATAAATAAACCTGAGCTGAAAACGAGGGTTATAATCACATGGCTCAGAAAATACTATTATTTCCGTGAGGCACACGATATTTTATTCTCGTAGGGACTGAAAACTTCAATCTAACCGAACGAGGTTAAAATCGTACTTTCCAGTCCCTAGGGGAATAATAATCCTCCAGAAATATTTAAAAAAATCGATCGCTGGTCTCATTTATGGACATTTTCTCTGATAATTTCAATAGCTTTGCTATTTCAGATTCAATTTCCATTGCTCACCTTTTTTGCAAATGGATACTCATGAGTACTCCATTATTGTTGTTCTCTTCACAGGGTTCCGACTGGTTTTGTTGGGATTTCCTCACTACTTCATTTAAGGTATAACTTTAGGCATGAAAGCCTTGAATTATTCAACCAAGAAGAACATTCCTCTTGGCTGAAATATTCAAGGGTTTCATGTCTAAAGTTTTTCCGAATGCATTTCTACGGTTTTATTGAAAATACTTACAGAAAGTAATGAAACTTCTCGAGAAATTTTCCCAAACCTTCAACTATTAATGCTATTACCTTAACTGATGAAAAGATTAAAAGATAAAAATTAGCGTGGATTATTGCATAGAGGAGTATCGAGAGTGCGCGACAATTTTTTATCCTTACGAATGATAAATTTTACCAGTAAAATGTCATCATCAATTCTCCGGATGTTTGATAACCTTTGTCCTCTCATGCGGACAATGTTTGCTTTATTAAGGATGAATATTATATTGTTGAGAACAAATTTTATTCTGACATATTCTTAAAATGTACCCCGTCAAAAGGATAGTTATTGAATCACGGCAAAATCAGTGGTGAATTATCCTTCGATCAAGATAATGTTCATTAAAAATTTCTCTTTGTGTACAACAATGAGACATAACATGTTGACTTATAACCACGTGAATAATGCCCTCGAAAAAATGGAAAGTCAGTCTAGGTCTTGATATGTATATTCATACGAATTCAGAGAACGAAAATGGCACGAAATAATTGGAATAAATTAAACTTAACAGACGCGACAAGCATTGTCGAAAAAATTGAAGAGTTCCCAAAGAAGGTATCACATGATAGACTTGACGTGCATGACACCATAAAACCTTGAACCGAATACCAAAAGCATTAGCAAAGGAAATTCATGAAACGATTCTGTCATAAATGCAATGAATACATCAAAGAGGATTGACTGAATTGGAGGCTCAGTTCTGGGGGTTTGAGTGCATTTTCAAAAAAGTATCAGAGGAACATAAAAATGGAGGAGGTATTCACTGAAATTTGAAATTTCAAAATTTTTCGAAAAGGATCAGGGGTGCATGAAAATCGAGGAGGTATTCACTGAAATTTGAAAAATTCGAAATTTTTTAAAAAGTATCAGGGGAGCATGAAAATCGAGGAGACATTCACTGAAATTGAAAAATTTTAAATTTTCAAAAAAGTATCAGGGGAGCATGAAAATCGAGGAGGTATTCACTGAAATTTGAAAATTCGAAATTTTTGAAAAAGTATCAGGAGAGCATGACAATTGAGGAAGTATTCAGTGAAATGTGAAAATTCGAAATTTTTCAAAAAGTATCAGGGGAACATGAAAATTGAGGAGGTATTCATTGAAATTTGAAAATTCAAAATTTTCAAAAAAGTATCAGGGGAGCATGGAAATCGAGGAGACATTCACTGAAATTGAAAAATTTTAAATTTTCAAAAAAAAGTATCAGGGGAGCATGAAAGTCGAAGATTCCGTAACGCAAAAGATAAAATTCACCCTGTCGACTCGTCCCTCTGACAGTGGGACTGCTATAGTGAATATTGTCAGAGGAGCCAACCTCGGCCGTAACCCCCACTCTCCAAAATCCCCACTTGTGGCCGTGTTCCCCACCAGTCGCGCCGAACAAAACCGAAGTTACTTCTTTGGTAATATTCAGTATAGTGAATATTGTCAGAGGAGCAACCTCGGCCGTAACCCCCACTCTCCGAAATCCCCACTTGTGGCCGTGTTCCCCACCAGTCGAGCCGAACAAAAACGAAGTTACTTCTTTGGTATACTGAATATTACCGAAGAAGTAATTTCGGTTTTGTTCGGCTCGACTGGTGGGGAACACGGGCACAAGTGGGGATTTCGGAGAGTGGGGGTTACGGCTGAGGTTACTCCTCTGACAATATTCACTATACTGAGGCAGTTACCGAGTTGGCTGACGGGCAGACACCCCCATTGCGTGTGACGTCCTCCCTCTCTTGGGGTGCAGTACTACGATGCCGCTGGGGTCACTCCAACCCCCAGAACTGAGCCTCTACTTGATGATGGACATTAGCCGTGAGACGAATTGAATACACGCATTTGTTATTTTTTTTATCTTGGTAGCTGCCCTCGCCATGGCAACACCCGCATCCCAGATATCTAAATAATAATCAAAGCACTGGTGTATTGTGGAGAATCAGCAACTCCAAGTTTCACAGGTAAACCGCCCCTGTGAATGTCCAATACATGTATTGATGTCGTTACAATAACAACAAAAGGGAGCCCATTATAAATGTCGAATGCACGAGGGTTGTTTTTCACGACAATACTTGTTGTGTTGGTTGAAATTTGTCAGATTTAATTTATACCTGTTGTGTGACACTCAAGGCATAAATATGTCCTGTTAGAGCTGGCATATATGACGGTGAATGCCCTGAAAGAACTTCCAATATTCTAGAGCTGTTGATCTTTCAAAATGACGTGATAGAATAGTACCAGTAAATAATCCTTGTCATACACCATTGGTATATATGTGCTCAATTCAAACCGAATGCAATAACCCTGCCAGACTCACAAGCACATATGTATATAGGGAAATTTCATCTACCTCAACGACGAACTATTCAACCTTCCTCATACGTAGGTGATAAAGGGGAACTTTGTTATGTGCATTGGTGGATGAAAAAAATATATATGTAGAGGTAATTTTCAACAGCCAAGGTGTGGCGACAATAGTAGTCGGGGGGGCGGGTGTGGAGAAATAATTAGTGAGGAACTGCGTGTATGCACATACGGACCGGTGGAGAATTGACCAACGTTGGCCATCCGAAAATTCTCATTAAACAATGGACAAACGTGAATATGCTGCGTCGCAATTAAACTTCCGCTAAGTAAAAAGTATTCTCTCTCCTATAGCAAGTTCCTCTCTCTCTCATTTCGCGGTGAAAAAAAAAATAAGAAGAATGAAAATTGAAAACAGCTCATCTTACGACAATTTTTTTTGGGACACTTGTGGAAAATATAGTTATCAATTAATTGGTTGGCTTTATCTGGAGTGCGTGGGCAGGAGTTAAGCAAAATGTCGCTAAATGTTTATTTATAAGCAGAATGGCAAGATTAATGGTGGAAATAGTCATTCGGTCATGTGATATACCAGTCAAGGCAACTTACAAAGAAGAACCACCGCCGCTGGTCGAATACAGTGATGATAAATCATCCGAGCATGACGTTTACGGAGTAACTGCGCTTGGCTCAACACTCAACCACCCACAATACTCCGATATTGCAGTAAGCTCTCTCATCCTTTGTATGCTCAAGCTGACCTCCCATGGACTCCTGATACTTCGCAATCGACATTCAACTAGTGCCTTCATGTGGTGTCACGGTATTTCCTGCTGGTGGGTGAGCAATTATCGTGAATCCACATATAAGCCAACCAAAACGCATTACCACATAATCCATCCTTGATATTTGTGCACGAAATGTCCCATTAAGATGGTCATGATTTAAAACGTTGAACGCTCGTGCCAATCAAATCAGTCAAATGATAAATCACCATCGAAGATATTGAAGTAGAATTCTCCGAGTTTTTAGTGAGATTATCCCAGTCCATTTCCATTATTCCAATAGAGAAAGAATATACGGAAACGACTGCCACGTCAATTGTCACGTATTTGAAATATTCATCGCCTCCGTCTCGGTTGATACAATTATTCTCGTTTATTGGTATCTTTATCCCGCGGGTTGCTTATACAGCGGTAGCTATTATTAATCTTGGAGAAGTGATTATATTCAATTATTACGCTTCGATTTATGCGACCTGAATAGGAATCATAACGTCATCATTGAATGATCGTATGTGCAATACACCAAGGTTTCTTGAGAAATAGAGTCATCTATTTGATGAGGAGAAAAATATTGGAGTATTGTGAGGCATGAACTAATCCAGACCCGTGTAATTCGATAATGCCACGTCAATTCACTCGAACGATTTTTGACTTTGCGCTTCCAAATGCAAGCGAGCTAGCCTCTATATACGATAATACCCGTCTTGGTGCAAAAAAAACTATAAACAATAAGGGGATTTCGCTGAAGCAAAATTATTTGTTCTATAAAAAGACCAGAGTGAGGCATACGGTTTGAATAGCTGTGCATTCGCCGAGTGATTGAAAAATTAATGAAAGAAAAAACTCGATTCATGGAAGTATAAAACAGTTAGCATTTTGAAATTATCGAATTTCCATGAATTATAGATTGACAGCCCGTGGCACCGAATGGATCAAGCGTTATCGTGTTAATAACTTCGGATTTTCGTATGACTCGATGTGAAAACATATCATGAGGCTAATGATAATAGAACACGTTTGTAATTTTCCGTCGGCAAAATTGATCATTGCTCAATGATAATTAATATCATATGAATATAGTGGAGTTGCTTCTAAAATATGTTAATGACCACATTCCATGACCTCTGGCATCTGCTTGTTAATCATTGAAAAAAAAGTCCTAATGGGAAAGAAGAGTATTGAATTTATTTACTGCCAAGAACATGCCGACTATCGGCAATCCACCGCCACACAGTTATAACCATAATTCACATTCTCTACAATATGGGTCATCGATAATGCAGAGCTCTTCACTGTTACAAAAAATTCAAACATATCTGGATGGAGTTCTTAGATTCCCTGGTTTCCGCCCGTCCATAATTGGACGAATGAATAATCAATTAAATTCAATAACAGATAGTATTTCAAATCTTTCTGGGTATAAGAACTACTATTCACTGGTAGATATTAACATTCAACACCAGGTATGTACATTGCTGTAAGAAAAATGAAAAAGAAAAGGGAAAATATAACACCCATGTGTTATGTTCATTTTGTCTCAGAGAAAAGATTGAGGCCCCACTGGCGTGGACTAAAATATTGATGGTATTGTAGTCTGGTTCAAAGCCGCCGCAATCAGTATCTTTTTCTTCTCCATCATTTTTTTATGTTTCGCACCATTCTTGTGTTCTCGCCATTGCAATTCTCCAATTAACACTTTCTCACAGATCTGCAAGTGTTAAAGCAAAAACGCAAGAATGAATGACGAAAATAAGTACAAATAAAAAACTGTGTTGTTCATGTGTATGTATGTGTGTAAACGTAGCCTCAATACGATGAATGCACAACGGGAACTCACCTCACACCAATGTGCTTCTTCATTACTGCTGTCTGTGCACTTTTCATTTTCAACGTTTTCATTGATGGGCTTCTGTGCTGGTGTTTCTCCTCTTAGTTTTGCATTCACTATTTCTATCGCTGGTTTCAAAACGTTGGTATCCCATTCGTCGATATTTGTGCAATCCAATTCATAGACAGGTGGTACCTCAAATGAAAAATAAATATTCGTTAAGTTCATTGAATTGCATGGAATTAGTCTTTTCAATCGGTCTGCCTCACAGCTTCAATCGCACATTTTTACCAATTACCTGTCTGTCCATCCTCCTGATAAGTCGATTCATTGTCCATCTCTGTTGGCGTCTGGCATATCTTCTCGTGACAAGTTTCAAGTCGTCGATGCCCTGTTTGAGTAAGGCTCGACCCTGAAACAAACATTCTCCACTGTATTATGATTTCTACAATCAGGGAAAATACTGCGCGTTACTCATAAAGATGTTATGCGTCATCTTCGTCATAGCGTGTACCAGTCATATCTAACTTGACGCCTCAACGAACCGAAAAATCATTCTAGTAGCTTTTTCTGTGCATCATCATTCATAAACTTGCAAAAAAGTGGGCAACAGTAATCGCCATATTAATTTCAAAATTGCAAGACTATAACGCACAATTACAATGTGACTGTTACACTCATAATTGACAATTCAACAGTAAATCTTCGTGTTTTATTTTTGTAGAGCCTCAGCAGTGTCAAATATTATCGAGAAAATGCAATCACGCGCAAAATGATACTATTATGTATATTTTTCGATATCGTAACAGACTCAATGGAATAATGTTTATGATTATTTAAATAAAGAAACGACTGTGGAGCAAAGTGAGATTTATCAGGTAAAACCTGATACAACGATACCTTTTCACTATTTCTCTCGTCCTCAGGCAGAATCAGGTAATTGTGAAACTCCTTGAAGCCAATCGACTGAAAGATGCCTTTCGTGTAATCGGGTGACCTGGAACGCGATACATTCTCTATGTTATGCATCTATATATCTGCTGGGACTGAGGACCCCTTTTCGCCTGTCAAGTCTAGCCTGAGCTAGCCAGTAATAAAGTTTATATCCAACGCATTGCCAATTGATACTAGTTTCCATGCCATTTCTGTATTTAAAGTGCAACTGTTAAAGTTAACGTGCACAGCCATTATCATTATGGTTTCTCCTGTTCACACTTTTTCCCTCGTCCATTAGAAGCTATAGACCGCTAGGCAAGAAGAAAAATTGATAACGATGGGGAATTCTATGAAAAAAACGATGGAATAACGAATAATCAAGCGGTGTTATGCTTCTTTCTTGGTAACCTGCACCTGATTAGCTTATCGAAGCTGATAAAGGTCTATTCAAGGCGCCTGGAGAGCTTACGTTGGCGGAAAAAATGGCATAATGTTGTATAAATTTGGTGAGACAGTGTAAATTAAGTGTGTGGTTGGAGCCGACAGAGACAGAGGGACCAGACCAATGAAAGTCAACATGAATGTAGTACAAAAAAAGAACTTTTTACCGGTATCAAATGAGTTGAGACAAGTGCAAGATTTATCTTCCGCTCGAAAAACTTTTGGAACTGGCGAAAAGTATTATCATTATTATTTTCATATACAATATAGGTGTAAGAGTATTAAATAGTGCCGTGCACATATGTACTAGAAAAATTCCGATGGATGCCATAAAATTGTAGGCTTTGGGCATTATCTGACGTCAATGCTCCGCCTTTTTCTTACTTTCATTGCGCATTCTTGGAGATTTTATGTAGCATTGCTTTATTTATAGCGTTTTTTTCATTTTTCCTTTTTTTTTTTACCAAGTTAACGAAAAAATAATGAAAAATACGCAGCTTATCATTGCTCACCACTGGATTGAGTGACAGCTAGGCACATTGATAGACAGCGTATTTTTTATTATTTTTCTATGAACTTGGTGAATCCTTTTTAACCAATATCGTGACTTAGCGTCTTTCAATAATTTTTCCTTTTCTTCTTCATTATCTTTTTATAACCACTCGAGTGGTCGCCGCAACACAAATTTCATCCAAAATTTTAATATATTTTAGGCTAACAAGATTTTAAAAAAATGCATCTATCACTATTTATTTTTTATTTGAATTATTATTGAAATTGAATTATTACATTAATGAGAGTGTCTTCACTCGCGATAAACGCAAATACCATTAAAATTATTCGGAAATGAATGTGCATTACAAAATGGAAACAAATAAAAAAAGAAAAAATCATCATATTCATAAAATGAAGCAATCCATTGTACAATTGATGAAATTAGAAATGGTGAAGCGATTCCTCAATGATTCGTTGCAAAGATTTATCGGTCAGACAGTTACGCTGTCTGATCTCGTTACATGAAGATCATATTGATACTTTTGGAAAAATTATTGTGTCAAAGTTGATAGTTTGACTCGCATATGTATTCGACGATCTGACCATGTTACAGATACTATATATAGTAATACAGCAATGGAATAGATGAATAATTCATATCTGAGACAAATGGTTAGATACGTTGAATGGTTGATTACTCGATGCACTGCTATTTCCATAATTCTGGTACACGGCAATTGTAATTCGTCATTCGCGGCATGATTGTCAATTGCTATGATTTATTGATTACCGCGTTGAAGATATGAATGGCCGTATCTGCAATATCAAGTGAGGAGAAAGTGGATCTTTTCTCTGAGTTCTTCATTGAATTAGAGAATTCAGAATATTGCATTATCTCAGCTGGAAGATATGAAAGATTGGTATCGCAAATAGTTGGTGGATTTAAAGGAATTTTTTGGCGATAACGCACGTGGCTTCAAAGTTATAATATTACAAGAATTGAATAAGCGGCGACTGGCGTCGTTTTCTTATCAGTAGTAAATCCCACTAGAAGTACTCGTGGTCATACAGATTTATCATATGATTACTCTCAGATATAAACGTGACTTGGGTAATGGGTTCGTAAAATTTTGCAATATCGCTTATGGAAAAGTGAATTTTTACCGATGAAAGAGGATACTCATGACCATTAACAATAAATTATCATTCATTCTATATATGGAACAACCTACATTAAATACTGCAAATTATACGAAAACCATTTGCATATGTATAATGCCGGCGAAAAGCCTATCGCGTGTCGCACATCACGGGTCGTAGGATGTACGATAATTATTAGTAATAATTATATCAGCACCGGTGGTCGGTTGTTGACTTTTACGAGTATCACCGGTGGGACAGGCATAAGGGGGCCGGCCACCGAATGCCAGCGATCAATAAATCCTTACCTTTCATATCCTCCGGATGAGAAATTCTTCGCTTCTCTCTTATATATTATCATCTTAATTTTATTTATTATTAAAACTCTCTCAACCCGACAAATTTTCACAAAAGCTATCAAATTCCGGGAAGTTTGACGTATTTGCTCCGGGAAAATTTGTTAGAACATGTCATAGATCGGAAATTAAATGACACAAAAATCGTTTTCAAAAAAGGCGGTTAAGCATTTTTTTGATTGGATGACTTGTGCATGAGTGGGAGTGAAATCTTGGTAATTTTTCACAAAGGAGAAATAATTTCCTTGATGCTGCGGTCGACAAAAGGATCATGGAATATATATAGATTATACTATTACCGTTTCTCATCTTCAACACCTACTCCATTCGTTGGTCCATTGTCGAGAATCGATTTATGCGCCCACATTTGACTAGATTATGGCAGAAAGATTCCACTTATGATGTTGGAAATTGAAATTCAAACCTGATCAATCCAACCCTCGAATGAACAATGCAGTCATTTTAGTCACAAATCCTATTGATTAAACGGAAATTGAGGTTGGTCATGTACAAGTAATGAAAATTCATCAACAGGGGGACTTTCTAGGGAAATTTCTGGACAAACTTTGAACACGCGTTTTGAATTTGAAGACACAAGTCGGAATAACTTCGGAATGACTCATTTGAAAAAAATTGTTAAAACGTTATTAATTATAATCTACGCCGACGATTTAATGTCTTATGTATATCACTCGAAAAGAATGTCAATTGAAATGAATACTCCACACGCCAATTGGGATGAATAACCCACATCAAGGCGAGAAAAGAAAAAGAAGAAAGAAATCGGGTCTAGCATCAAAAAGGATAATCAGAGAAAAATCTTAATGGAACCTCGAAATTTTCCAGTATACATATATCATTTTCACAGACCTATGGAAAAGATGGTAATGTTGTCGGTTGAAATTTTTCTGCACGTTCAAATGACGATATTCGCGCTCCTGAAAATATCTGTCTGCATAAGACGCATGTTAGCAGGATATGGGAAAATTCCTTGTAATTATGTTTTTGTAGAATCAATTCTAATAATCGCGATAATTCTGCATGATGTGGGAAAGTATCGGTTCTTCTATGGCCCGCGATTAAGAACGTTGTTATATTTTTACATAAAAAATGTTTCTATGCCGGCGGGCAGAAAGTAATGTTTTCCCTTTTGCAGGCCGAAATCATCCACTTGCTGTTATCGCCGCGAAAGAAAATGGCATTATAACCACAGAAGATGGAGTGACAAATGCTTGGTCGGGTGTAAAATGACCAGCTGAGCTCAAGGCGGAGTTATTTTACCTCTGTAAGTTAAAAATATTCTATTTAGTTCCTTATGTGCAGAAAATTAGACTTCGCTTCGAGTCTCTGGGAAGAAAGTGACAGTTTATTCCCCAGAAATCATTACTTTCACGTGTCAATTGTTTTTCGTGTTAGTCATTGCTCTATATAATTTACCGAAATGACGGCGAATCCGACTTTCTATTTCTTCTGAGTAAACACACTTACTCACTATGTAATAAAAGTTACACCCAGAATATTTTAGCCTTACAGTGTCAACAAATTACTCTTATAATTTTCAAGTAAAAAATTTGTGAATTTTCCATTTAGTTATCGATGAAATCACTCAATCATTTTTTTTCATTTCTCAAGTCCATATGACACTAAAAATTACCGAAAATCATAAAAATTGAGTTATATTCTATTTTAACGATAGATGCGAAAATATAATTTGTCATTAGAAATTTGAGAACAATTCATCATAGAAAATGAACTTTCACATAATCATCAAGATGGAGAAATTCCAGGAGAAATTAAAACTGAAATTAAATTTACGTCAAGAATATTGAATATCTAAATTCAATACTACATTTTTCCTTTTTTATCAGCGATTACCTAACAATTCATGAATAAAATAGCTCCACATCTAGCACGCCTTCTCATTTGCCAAATTTGATGAAGCGCTTGCTGGTTGTACCGAGTTGAGGGTCTTTCGGTACTGCTTCAAGTGGATGAGCAAAAAAAAAAGCTACATAAAACCCGCAAGAATAAAACGTGTTATCGGAATAAAAGTGTTACGTGATATTATTCAACGTATCTAGTCGTCGAATCTTGTCCGCACCTGAATATACGGTGAAATACCAATAAGGTATTAAGCAATTATTTGAAGTAAACATGAAGTAGCTTGCATTCCTAAAATTTTAGGAAATTCTCCATTCTTCATTGCCCTGCTAGTAATGAAAATGTCCAGGATAGGTTTGTCTTATGAAAACGTATTGAATGAAATCATCCGATTAACATCGATTTGTTATGCGAATAAGCCGAAATGAGGAATAAATTCATAACATTAGAATGGATGTCTCTCAATGAGAAATTCAAACTTCCGTTTCCGCCAAACTTGTTAGTCACGTAGCCCTTTTATACGTGGCTAACGAATTCAATGAGTAGGGTTGACCGTCAGTGTCTGATAAATATTTATACTCAATTACACGTGAAATGAACAATCATTCTTTTTTCGGTTGACTTGGGTCTCAATTAGCTCGTAACTCAATCTCGATGTGTGCGTTTCTGACCTAGGGTGAAATACAATGGCCCAATATTGGGCTGAAAATCGACAAAGCCCTCGGCAAAGGCCGATCATCTGCCCAATGCTAGGATTTTACTAGATATTCTATTCCAAGCCGCATACACGGAGAGAAAAATTCAATGAAAATTGCGTGTCTGTTCCAAAATCTGTCAGTGAAAACAGAATTTCAGTAAAAAAAAATGACGGAACAGTTAGGCAATTTTCACTGAAAAGTTTGTGAATGAGCTGAAGTTTCTTGAACGTTTGGGCCTAATTGTACACATCAATATCAATTATCACTTTCGTCATACTTTCGGATATATTCAAGGTACTCGTGAATTCATAATTTTTCCGGAAGTAGGGATCGAAGGCGGATCACGTGTCAAACCGGAGATTTGCAGAAGTGAATTCAGAGAAAGCCGGAACGCGATTATAGTATGGGATGGGTGGACACGTATACGTGAATCTTTTAGCAAATTCGATGATTGTTTTTTATCAAGTGATGAAAGGAGATTTTAACGAGCCGTAATTCATAAAGGAATTGTTCGGAGCTAAGAGGCTGTAAATACCTTCAACATTTCATCGGTTGCGTTTAGTGTTGGAATGGCCTCGGTCGAGTAATCGAAAGTGCGATCATACAATTTCGCACGTATTATGCTAAGAATCATTTCACTTTCGATCGGAGTAGATGTGTGTGGCTTATCGAAAAATATATTCATTGATATTTTTTACAAATAAACCGTGAGATGACAGAATATCTTTTCAATGCCGTCCTAATATATTTCGTCACAAGTGCAGAAAAGTGATTTTTCGCGTGTGGGAGGTACAATCCCACATGTCAAAAAGAACTTTCTGCATGAGTTGCGAACAATATTTTTCCTCACAATGTGCGGGAACTTTTCGGCAGATCGTGATGAAAATAAACAGTCTCTCCGAGACCTCGGAGATTTTTCACCTGAAAAATTGAATAACTTACGAGTTCAGTTTAATCCACTGCTTGTTATAGCGCCCATGAAAATTTTGAAGTTCTTCAACGAGACCTGCATTTAGCATAGCATCCACTCTTTTATCCAACCTCTCGTCCAATATTTTCTGGAAATAAAACAAACTGACTTTTCATAAATTATATAAAGATAGAATCAATTCTAAATTCAAATTGTCATTTCGTGACAAAAAATTTAAAATACGTAGATTATTCTACGAAAGTTCGGCTGATGAAACTACAAGCAGTCCTCGATATCTATTTTTTTTTCTTATTAAGAACTTTTGAATGGAATTATATCCAAAAAAAATCAATTTATCGTGATTGTCCGATTTCTTATTTCCTGCTAGCTTCAAAAACTCTTCAGATCAGAACCTTGGGATAGGAAAACAAATTATTCGAATGCCCCGCCGTCTCAAAAATTAATTGGGTATCGTTAAGGCTCCGCGGATATAAATGAAGTCGGCAATTTTTTTTTGAAAGACCCATGTTACGAAAACAGTCGCAGATCCTATATATGAAAAAAATAGGGTCAATCACACGTCGCAATGGTAAAAAATGACATTTAAAATTCCAAGTGAAAAAACTTGAAATGTTTAACAAAGATAAATTAGTCAATTTATTGAATATACACCAGTAGAAAGTTGAAGAAATGTTCAAAATTCAGGTGATAATTTCCTTGAGTTAACGTTCTCAATCGAAATTGAATAAAAACCCGGATCCTATTGTTAATTCAGATGACAAAATTGTCTCAAAATTTTTAGAAACTTTCTCACGATCGTTCCAGTATCATATGGATTCGTGACCTCCTCAACTCGTTCAACAACCGTTACCTTATGAGGCATTTAATTAAAAAAATACTAGTGCCAATGTCCTGTGACTATGCGCCTCCATTCATACGCAATGAATAATTACTCTTCTCTGATCATAATTATTCACGTTAACCTATACGTGAAACATAATTATTTCTTCAATCGGCCAAGAAAGGATAAATTTTGAAATGAAAATATGTGTATCTATTTTGGAGTTCTAATGAAGTTAGAGGAAAAACAGATATTTTTTTTCATTCCATATTGATTCTCGATAAATATTCATAAAGAACATTAGCATCGCACATAACATTCAACATCAGAAGATTTGTAATTGCTTTTAGCAATTGACAGAAATTCAGAAAATTAAATTCTCAACATTTTCCGGAGAGAAAATATAAATTTATTCCCGTAAGTTGAGAATTTTAAAAAGCCCATTCGCTGGTTCAACGAGCGTTGTACACAAATGAGGCCAAGGTTTACACAGCAGAAGCCGCACGTGTGACTTTCCGCGACCCCGTCCCCTCGATGGTTTCCTCCATCGAATCTCTTGAAATATAGCCAGTATCGTTTTTTTTTCATTTGATTATTTGTTTTTATCATTCCAAACGTTGTACTTAAAATGAAAAAAAAAAAACGTTAAGACTGTGATAAATTCTGAACCATAGATAGCAACAATGGCGCCAGATCATGGCACCAATAGCGCAACTGAATAATTACGAGATTTAATGCTACGTCAATCTATCGTTTTAGTAGTTTTTCTGCATAATCTGAATGTCGAATGTTGGGTGACTCAAGTGCCAATAAGTATCAAGATAAGAAACCCAAATGGATAGAAATTCTGGAATGAAAAAAAAAATAGATAAAAAAATGTATAGTTGTAAAAATTTAAACATATGATGTTTGCTCTTAGATATTCTTTTGTGATCAAACGTAAAAAAAAATGAAAACACTACGCGCTATATCACTTGTTCAAAATTTCTTCAATTGTGGATTTTTAGCGGCCTCGAATCTGTGATTTCTTTATTGACCTTTCAATATTCCTCCTGAGATGTAAATATATATTTTACCGCGCTGTAATCGTGAAGATGATTACATAAACTCAAATCGATCATTCCTTATTGAAACGGTTGGTAATGGTGATATGTGGTGTACCCTCTACTGCACTGGAATGATTTTCATTGAAAGACATCTCAAGTCTTCATGAGTTATGCTAAACTACATTGAATCTAATCAACCGTGCCAGCATAATGGAAACATACTTCACAGACTGGTCTGGCAGAGTGTTATCGCTTGAGATTCTAGCTTGTTCCGATTGTGTCTGATTCAGGAGCATAGCCACATAATCGGCTTAGACCAATGTACTCTCTTCTCCTAGCTGGAGCATGAGCATAACTTGAAATAAAGACATTGACTCAAGAATGAATGCGATGAAAATCAGTCATGATGTGTTGAATGGCCATGCGTATCCTTTCTCCGGATACATTATGTATAAATTCACCAAGTTGTCTGTATTGCCCATGATCGTTTTGTTTTTTTCTTCGCAAATATAACGTGCTGTCGGTGAGTGGAATTAGGCAAAAATCGATGGATACGTCTGGAGGTCGAAATGACGAACGTTTCCAGGAGGGATCTTTGTCTGCAGCCAAGGTGCGGCTACCGAGAATAAAGATTCTCATCTTTCCTCAAGTACCCAACTCTCATATCAATAACACATATAGTTAAGAAATCTTCGTGTTCGTGTTAAAATCAATATCGAACCTACTGGCAATAAGGAAAACTTTATAATTACAAGTCTTTGATTTTTCGCAATTGAGAGTTATATCATTTCGTTGGCTGAGAATTTTTTACTAATAAAAATAAATATATCAAACTTTAGGAAAGCCCAAATATTGAGGATTGAATAGTACTGAGTGGAATTGATGAAGAAAGTTTCGAAAATATATTCATCTATCATCCTTGTTATATAGTAGAGAATACATGCAGTGAACGTGAAAGCAGAAACTCGTACAACTTTTGTAGGAGGAAAGATGTGTAGTAAATTTTAAAAAGCAAATAGTAAAAAACAAGAGAAATAGAAAATTGCCCACAATTAGCGCTGCTACGTATTTATACCAACTAGTGGGAGATCCAGCAGGACATTCACCAGTCTAGAAACGAGATTCTCTCTGGGGCAAAGTGTTTTGGATTCCCTCTATTTTCGTCGGCCGCCTCAAGCCATCCAATAGTACCTTCGTGTGAGCTTAATTATACCCGTATATCATTAACACCGTGGTTATTCTAGCATTGTAACGATATTTTTGCCGCATAGTGACAAAGAGTAAATGCAAGAGTTGAACAAACTTGTAAATTTCAACAACCGAAAATTGGCGTAGTCTCATCACTGATAGATATTCTTCAATTTTTTTTCTTTCCCAAAGTTCCGAGAGTACTCGCAGGAGTTGGCACGAATGAAACGCATGCAATCATAAGAAAGACCCCACTGGGAGGATGATTTTGGGACGATTCGAGCCGCAAGTTCCAAGAAGGACGTTGTAGACCTCTGAATGAAGAGACAATCCGAAAAAAACGAAAAAAAAAAACCTAATCGAAAAAAAAAGGGAAAAGCAAAAAGCAAGTGTTTAACCGCGTCATCAACTGGTTCTTCTTCGCACTCTTTTACCGCCACTTCTTCTCTCACTCACTCACTCTTGCTTATTCTCCCATATCCTTCTTCAAGTCCGCGATGAGACGGTGGAGTCGCATTGCCGGAAATGCTCTGCGTGCCGAGAACTAAAACCGCTGTACCAGAGTTTAAATTTAAATTCAGTCGTTTCGTGCGAATTATCGGCGAAATATGGAATAAAAAAAAGTAATCCACGGAGAATAAAAGTAATCAACTCACAAGATAATAGATGAATGCAGAATGAAAACGCGCATAAGGATGAAATGCCGTTTAGTCGGTGAGCCTTTCGCCGGGACTAATCTCACCCCAGGCGCTCTTCGAGAACGTAATTATGATGACTCTTCTCGTGGAGCCCTCCGGGTGATTAGGCGCGCTACAGGAATAAGGATAAACAAAAATAATCACCAACAAAATTGGGTAAAAAAAAAGAGACAATTGCGAATGATCGCAGGGGGTGAGTAATGACGTGCAAGGGTCACCAAATGAATTTAGAGGAACAGCAAAAAAAAATTCAACAAGAAAAAAGGGGTCAGGCAAAATGAGTGAGTAATTTTGCCCCGACGTATCTAATAATGGAAAGTATTATTATTGGATCGCAAGTAGATACCGATTGTCGTGCAACCGTGTTTTCCCCAACAATTTATTATTAACCCGTCTTACACCCTCGTATTCCTTGAGGTATTTGCCCCTATTTCCATCTCTCTCTATTCGTCTGCGGTATCCAAACGCATTTCTAATTATAACGGCGCCTCTCCGTATTACTAAGGCGTTTATTTATTTCTACGGTGGACTAGAAGCACCCGCGTATTCTATCGTTGTTTCAAATGAAACACAGCTCAATGCGTTTACCTCCCTCACTATCTCTTGAGATTGTATTATATTCCTATTCCATCTCTCACGTTTCAACGGTTTAGCCGGAAGAACTCAGAGAGCTGACTTTCGCGGTGAAAAAAAAACGCTAGATAATTGCTCCGATTCCCGCAAAAATCCTCCATCCAGAATACTTTGTAACGATTAAGTAAACTCTTATTAAGGAATTACTTCCGACCTATTACGGGGTAGAAGGAAATATACCGATTTTATGAAAATTTTATGTTAGGTGCTTCCATGACTTTGGAAATGATCTGCAAAATTTCAGGGGAGTTGCGGGCATTGTTAATTAATTATGATTTCTTCAATAATCGATCTTTAACCAGTGTCCTTATGGGAATCCGCGAAGCTTAGTAAAGAAACACAAAAATAATCGCAGAGCAATGAAACTTCGGGTATTTATAAATAATACCCTTGCCGACAAACGGAATGTTTTTCCGGTCAATTAAATGAATAATTCACGTTAAATATTGAAAAATTAGTGCAAATTGTCAGTTATCTCTTTAATCACTGATTAGTCGATTAAACCGGTAGTATTTAAAAAGAATAAGACACAAGTTCTTCCTAAAAGCAAACAACTATTTCTCAATGACGAGAAATTCAACAACTGTGCAAATCGATTTCATATATAACTGTCAAAGGCACAAGAACAAATGTTAAGATAAAATACATGATATGGTGTGACAGAGAACTACTTGAGTATAACACTCATAAAACCAGTCTCTCGATGGACCAGATACGACTTCCGTCATCGGTGGTTTATATC